TTTTTCACTTTTTTCAGCATATATGCAGCACCGATAACATGATAAGTGGAAAACCATTTTACCTTTTGGCTTGAAACTTACAGAACTGGTGAATATTCATAATACACAGGTCAAGTTTGAAAATCAGCATGATCGTCAATTTTTTTTGGAAATTATCCTGTTTTTTTTTTTTTTTTCAATTTTGTCAGCATTTTTATAACACCGATAACATGATAAGTGTAAAAATGGTTTTCCTTTTGGATTGCAACTTACAGAACTGATGAATATTCATAATACGCAAAATTCGAAAATTGGCTTGATTGGACTATTTTTTACAAAAGTTATGCTGTTTTTTTTCCATTATTCAGCATATATGCAACACTGATAATGCATTTTAAGGAAAACCAATCAGCCTTTTGTCTTGAAACTCACAGGAGTGATCAGTCTGACTAGTATACAGATTAAGTTTGAAAATAAGCTTGATCAGTTAAGTTTTGATGAAGTTATTGGCCATTTTGTATGTAAGTGGGTTTTCTTCAGATTTAATTCTTAGGCATGTTAACAGTCTCATTTTGGAACTAATTAGATATGTAAAAGTGTTGTTTTGACGTTTCATGCTTCTAAACAATATTGTTAGTTGGCTATATAAAAATGACGGTACACCTTTTATTGTGCATTGTGTAATAAAGTATCAAAAATGGAAAGGCACTCATATCATTGCAGTTCGTCAGATTCAATCATTCACTAAGTTAAGAATCTCAGAATGGAGCAAGTTGGACATTTAAATTTGTTCTATTGATATTTTTCCTTTGACAACATATTTTTTAATTGATCATATAAAAATGACAGTAAATCGATTATTTTGTTTTATGTAAAAAAGGTGTTGAAAATGGAAATAAACTCTTTTCAATACAGTTTTCTCTTGTTTAGATTTTGGGATTTTCAAAGTGTGACTCTGAATTCTGTGGGCTAGTCACATTTTCTGAATATCCATGATAGTTTTATTTTATCATTAAAAAAACTGATGGTTATTATGCTGTTAAGCATTGTGTAATATTGCATCAAAATTGAAGTAAACCCTATTTTGGGCACTGCCTCCGTAGTGACCGTGAAAGGAAAACCATGTCACTTGCTCTTTTCACACTTAAAGGAAAGAAACAGGACTGAAATACAGCTTTAGTTGGAAAATCTGTCTCATTAGTTAATTTTCTGGAAGTAAATTTTAAATTATATAGTCTTTTTGTGAAAATTTTTATCTTTCACATACTGGAATTTTCAGTGTGGGACTTAGAGCTCCCTTGGGCATGAAGCCCAGTGGTAATCAAATTTTCTTAATGTCCATGTTTTTAATAGTAGATATTTAAAAATTGGAGGTATTTACACAGTTAGTCATTATGTAATGTTCATCAAAATTGAGAAAAAACCTACTTTGTGCAATGCCACCATTAACGTTATGGAAAGAAAACTGTTACTTTCTATTTTTTCAACTAGTCTAACAAGAATGATTCTTAGGATTGACATACAGCTCATATTAGAAAACCAGCTCTATTGGACTATCATTTTTATTAAATTTATGCATTTCTTGTGAAATTTTCTTTTTTTCTCATTCTGGCACTTTCTAAGTATAAACTTGAACTCTGATGGGCCTGAAGCCTTATGCTTTTAATTTCGTCGGTGTTACCTGTTGTGCATAATTAAAATGTGATGTTGACTGTGCAGTTAAACATAGTGTATTATTGCATCAGAATTGGTAGTCTCCTATTTTGTGCATTATTGTTTTGTGCTCTCCTTAAGGTGTGACATATGGGCCTGAAGACCTTTGAGAGGGTCAGTCTGTAAATTTCCCTTGGGTATCACTAGGCTAAGTTCAGAGTTGTAAAGTCATTTGCCTAATTAATAGGCCATTAAATGAGATTACACAAAGCACATTTGTTGATATAACCCTGTAAACACCCAAAGGTTAAGCTCTCTGCTAGATTAATAATAAGGAAGCAGTGATAATTATGCAGGTAAATTTTGTTTAATATTGCAAATAAGTTTTTAATATATATATGTATATATATATATACATATATACTGTCAGTAAATATCTCTGGGTCTGCTCCTGTTATTGACCATGTTACCTGTTGTGCATGATTAAAATTCAGTGTTGACTGACAGTGCTATTATAAGCATTATTTATTATTGCATTAAAATTGACAAAATGACCTATTTTGCATCTTTATTTTCTGTTTTTTGTCTGTACATTTGACAG